CACCTCGTTGTCCCTCGTCCACCCCGCTGACCCCCGTCCACCCCGCTGACCCCCGTCCACCTCGCTGTCCCCGGCGGGTCGCACCTGTCCGGTCGGTGGTCCGGGCGCCGGGGCTCGTGGTGGACGGCGTCCAGGTCGCAGTCGTCCGGCTTCCGGCGCTCCCCGTCGGCCCTGCGCTTCCGTCCCAGGGACCATCTGCTGCTCGGGGATCGCGAGCTGCTCACAAACACACCGTGTTCAGAGCCTCCCCGGGCCTCCCCGAGTCTCTCCCGGCCTCCCCGGCCCCCAGGGCCTCCTCCGGCCTCCCCGGGCCTCCCCGGGCCTCCCGGCCTCCTCCGGCCTCCTCGGCCTCCCGCCCGCCCGCTTCCGGCCCGGCCCACCGACTCCCACCGGCCTCACCTGGAGTCCCCGTAGCGGGGAGGGCTCCGCGGCCGGTAGGCCATGATGAGCGCAAAGGCGAGGTGGCGAGCGAGTGGACGCGAGTGACCGAGGGGACAGCGTCCAGCCGGACAGAGACGTAAGTTCCCGCGTCGGCGCTGACAGACAGAGCGCGCGCCCCGCCCCCCAACCGCCTTTATACGGCGCCAGGCCCCGCCCCCTGAGCTCCCGCGCGCGCCCGGGCGGACGCGACCATCGGGGCCGCGCCGGTGGGGGGAGCCCAGCTCGGCGGCACGAGCTCCGGAATTTCTCCAGGCTTGCGCTGGGTTTTCAGGACTTTAAAGGACTCTGTTTTTCCAATTCTAGAAGCTGCCATCTGGGAAGACGAAGCGGCACGGTCATCTTCATGAGAAAAAATGAAATTAAAAGATTGCCCCCCTCAAGTATTGAAGCACATGGCCGCGCGCGTGTCTCGGAAGCTGATTGGTTGCGCCTTAGCGGGTGGGGCGGGGGTTGTTGGCGGGAGATTCGGACTCCCGCGGCGCTGACGTCAGAGGGGGACGGGCGGTGCGTCTCCCATTAGACCTGCCTCGGGTGAGCAGCGTCTCTGATTGGCCCAAGCCTGGGTGGGGCCCGCCTCCGATAGGTCCCGCTTCCTCCAGGCCAGTCTCCCATTGGCCCGGCCCAAAAGGAGGCGCGCCTCCGCGCTGGCGGGAAAACTGGAACCCTGGAAGCGCTGTTGGTGCTGCAAAGTAGCTCCAACCACCCAGCTGATAAAGGGGGCCCGGGTTCTAAAGCGAGAAACTACAGATTAGTAAATTGTGGTCCTAGGTGCCGTCGACTGGACAACGATTCATAGACCCCTCTCCTGTGCCATCTTTGTTGGCTCCAGTATACTCAAGTCCACTGTTGAAGTCACTGTGTCAATCCATCTGCTCCAAGGCCTTCCTCTCCTTGAATGACGCTCTACCTTCTCCAGCATAATGTCTTTTCCAAGGACTAGCCTTTCCCAACATGCCCAAAGTGTGCGAGACGAACTTTTACTATAATTTCCTCTAAGAAGCATGCTGGTTCCACTTCCTCAAAGATAGATGTGTCCTTTTGATGTTAACGTTCATAGCTAAAAAGACAATTTCAAGTTTTATCTGGAAGTACAACGTTGTGAGTAATAGGATATTATCCATACACGTACAAGTAGACCTGTTAATATGACTATTATTCAAATATGCATACCGACAGCTAAAGACAAAGAGGAAATTGAAGATTTTTAATAGAAGAAGAATATAGCAGTTACCTCCAGGCCTGATCGCTCCTGATAACATCTAAGGAGACCAGAGGAGAGACCAAAGAAAGCCCCAGACCAAAGACCAAACCACAGGATGGATCCTGTTAAGGTTCAAAGCCTGATCACAAAAGCCCAAACCCAAGTTAATTAACAGCCCCAGATTCCAAGCAAAATAACCATCTTCCCTAGTCCCCCCAGAACTCCTATAAAAAGAGGCCCCTCTAGACCACCCTTCTGCTATTTTGACCTTCTGTGCTCTCAGTCACTTGACATCCCTCTCAGACCAGGAAATAAGGGTCTGTTAGTTTCTTGGGACCAGTTTATTTTCTCTCTTGCCCTTAACTCTTTTTTTTTTAAATTTTTTTATTTTAGTTTAGTTTTTTAATAATTTTAATGAACATTTACAGAGATTTTGGTTTTCCATTCATTCATTGCTGCACTTTCTCTCCCCACCCAGCCCTCCCCCCTCAACTTTTTTTTATCTAACATTTACAAAATTTTACAGTCCAAAATTGACCAACCCTGCAAGCATGACCATGAACGACAACTGGAGCCTGGAATGCATAAATTGGGACTAAATGAAAAAGGAGGGGTGATCGGAAAGACAGGCAGGGTGACAGAAATGTGCCCAAAAACAAAATGATCTAATTTTGTACATTCAATGACTTATTCATCACCTTTTAAAAAAAAAAAAACAAAAACTACAAACACAACTTGACACACGAACCTCTCCAGAAAGACCGCTCAGGAATCCAGCTGACCCCGTCTGTGGAAGGATAGGTGGGTGGGGAAAGCTCCGTAAAAGCAGTCACAACCAGGCCAGGCGGTGACTGCGGAAAGGCCGTTGAGCACTCTGGTGGCTTAGTGAGAAAGAACTGCACTGTGAACACAAAGGTATGCGGTTTGAATCTACCAGCTGCTCTGAGGGAGAGAGATGGGCAGTGTTCTGTGCAAATCACTGCCCCTCAAGACCCGCTGGAGGGGCAGCTGTGGGTAATTTCCTGTTTCAGAGTCCACAGTAACAAACAACATTAACTGTGGAGTTCATGAATTCGTTAACTGTGTTACTGAAGTGCCTGAGGTCTATTGGCCTGTGGTCTGAGGCCATTGGCACGTTGGTTCCCCCTAATACTGGAGGGAGCCAGGCCCCAAAGTTGACAAGGGGTGGGGGGTGTACAGCCAGCTCTCTAGAGATTTTTCTGACAGCACACAACAACAGTGACCCTACAGGACAGAGTTGAGTTGCCCCTAGTATTCCAATGATCGTCATCTTTACGGGACAGGCTGCCTTGTCTTTCTCCTGTGGAGACTGGTGAGTCCAAACCACCAACAGTTAGGCTCCAGCCCTCGCTCCTCCCCACTTCACCACCAGAGGTGTGTCTGTATCTGTTACAGGGGAAATGCGAGCATCTAAACACTCAGCCAAAATGTAGAGGTCAACAGAGCATGCGGGTCAAGAACATCAGCTAACGCTCAACCTTTCCAGCCTGAGAGGAAGCCAAGATCAGTTTCACACAAGGGTCTTTGCAGTCAGCAGTTGCAATTTCTTCCCTTTCAGGAGTCGTTATTGTCTCTGACTTCTCATGGGTGTCCAGGCCCCAGGGCAGGTACAGGCTGTAGACAGGAAGTGGTAACCATGCTGGGTCAGCATGTACTAGAGGACTCAGCAACACATGTTATTGCCAAAATGATTGAGTCATGTTGTTGTTGTTAAGGGCCGTTGAGTCGTAGACAGCCCATGGCAACAAAAGTCTTGAACATGAAACTTTCACCTTTTCTCCAAGTTCATAGAGTTTCTGGAGGCAAGCTTCTTTTGGAAGGGAATGTCACTTCTGCTTCCAAGCCTGTTTTACTTGGGAACTCCACAAAAACCTTTTTAAATACAAGGCCAAATCCAATCAGCTCACACTCAGTTGCTAGCAACAGCCACACCCGAGTCTCAACCCCAAGCCAGAAAACACACCTTTGCAGAATCAGGCCATTCCACTCATCTTCTCAGCCTGAAAAGTAGCCCCAAACTGGCAGCCAAATGCCGATTGAGGCATACATTTTTTTAATTTTTATTTTTATTGTTTTTTGTGTGTACCGTCAAATCAGATCTGACTGGTGCAGGAGGAGATTGCCCCTCCTTCTCCAGCAAAGCATCTGTTGGATTTGAACAGTGCATCTCGGGGATTTGAACAGTGCATCTCGGGGATTGCAGTGTAGCTTCTTGTCACTAGGCCACCAGAGCTCCCTGAGGCATACATTTCCTGAAATAGCTATTAGAACAAAATGACTTCTCTAATGCTTCACATATAAGCAGCGACTACAACTTAATCGAAAACCCTACTTTGGAGTTGACTCTGACTCCTGGTGACCCTGTAAGCAAAGCAGAGCTGCACACAGTGTAATATTTTGATGGCAGTAGACTGTCCTCTTGCTCCTGCAGGTCAGCGGGTGGGTTCACATCACCAGCCCTTGGATTTGTAGCCAGTTGCATAACCTACTACACCACAGAACTCCAGCTGTGTCTCCTGCTGACGGCACCAAACTGCTCTACTCTGAAGTGCTTAGGTTAGGATACACCATATTGTTGTTGTTGTTGTTGTTGTTGTCGTCAGGCGCCTTCAGATTGGCTATGGCCCACAGTGACCCTTTGAACAGCAGCTCTGTCCTTTGCCCTCTCCTGCACCATCCTCATCCTCTCTGATACACTTGAGTCATTGTTACAGTCACTGTGTCAATCTACTTAGTTCAGAGTTGTCCACGTTTTCCCTGACCCTCAACCTTTCCAAGTATTGTGTCTTTTTCCAAGTACTGGCACCCCTAACAACATTCCCATAGTATGTGAGATGAAGTCACTCTATCTTTGCCTCTAAGGAGCATCCTGGCTGCCCTTTCTCTGAGATCACAGTGCATCCGGTGCACCTCAGTCTTTGAACTGACACTGTTGCTCCTTAGAATTTTGGAGAGTCATTGACAGCAGATTTTCACAAAACAATACTTCTTTTAATTTCTTGACTGCTGGGATCAAGGATGTTGGCTGTGAATCTAAGTGAGATGAAATAATTGATACAGAAATTCTGAAATGAGATTATGTCCATTGGTACAGAGATCAGGATTCTGACATGTGTTTTGAAAGGACACAATTCAATTCATAACAGGCTACTTCTATTAAAATATATTCATTGTATGCTCAAAATTGGAGACCACAAATGACAGATGAAATGGAAGCAAGTCTTCACCGCCAAATGAAAATACTCAAGCCTTGAACTGCATCTTCGGACAGCCTCTGCTCTGTCCAGGAGCTTTGCAACTTACTATAAACCAAAGCTTCACGGTACACCTGAAAATAACTGGCCAAATCCAGAAGTGCTGGAGCTTGAAGCACTACTAAGTTAATGAAGGATGTCTCTAAGAACACGCACCACATTGAAACAATTCAGAAACCCTGCACTTTTGCCACAACACCTCAAGGCGGCTACCACTGATTGAGATACATGTTGCTACTGCAAAGAAAAAGGCGGCTGGGCCCAAGATGACCCAGCTCTCAAAGAGAAAGATTCCCCCTGCTGGACAAGAGTAAGTACTGGGGAACTTGAGAAACACACATACGCGGACTTATGCAAATTACATCACAAGACTAATTTCACAAGAGGGCTGAGAGCGATGTCGTTTTGGCGTTTGAGAGGATCCATGGAAAACATCGTCTTGAATAGAGTTGACTGTGGGGGTAACTCATCGGAGTTCCCACAGGCGGCGTTGGTGGCTTGAAGGAAGGAAGTGGAGGGCGAGGAA